AGCTGATAGTAGAGCTAGAGTTTGATCAGGATTGAGTTGTTTTTTGATAGCACTCCTTCATAGAAGGTTTGTATAGTTCCATCTGTGATATTAGCAATCTTGATGGTCATTGTCTAGATTTGTGCTTTATTAGACGTGTAGAACTCATTGCCAGTAAAGAGGAATTTTCTATCTTTCTGTATTTACGAATTCAAGTGTAGGCCATTTGTCTTTGATATGAACTATACATGTCCTTGATTTTTCAGAAATGCTTACATACTGACCCAGACAAAAGACCCTTCTGTGCTGAGCTCCTGCACCATGACTTTTTTCAATTGGATGGATTTGCTGAGAGGTATGATACTGACCCACGCATTTCAAGTTGTACCAACCTGGGCTTAATGCAAGGTTTCTGTAACAATTACTGGCTGTTTTTCTGTTGCCACCTACATGCAGTGCCTGGGGAGGGGGCCCCACATGCACTCACTAGAGCTCCCACCCAGGTCACGAAGCAGTCACTTCATGCTTCTCTTCCTGTCTCTCTGTGGTGACGTCTACCTCTCAGGTCACTGATCTCTCTGTGGCTAACAACTGTGTGACATCATCACCTTAGGTGCTCCTGCAGTTATAAAGCTGCCGTCACCTGTCGCCGCCAAGCTCACAGCACGCCGAGTCCTGTGATGCCGCTGACACTGCTGCTGTGCTGGACAACTCGGGTACAACAGACCTGTGGGTGCCTGAGCTGCTGGGCCATCCTTTATGGTGCACCAGCTGCGGCTCAGTGCAGCCGACAAAACCAAAGCTAGTGAGCTGAGTGGCAGTGACACGTAGCTTAGTGAAAGACAGCTAGATTCTCATATTTGCTTCTGTATTTAATTAGTTGTAACATGTTGTTTTGGCTAAAGTATGTGGAAAAAACTCTGTTCTCACACAAATATGTAGTTGGGAAACAAAAGGATGTTTTAATAGTCTATTTAGAGACTTAGTCGGTATTCTTTTTTTTTTTTTTTTTGAGACAGAGCCTCAAGCTATTGCCCTGGGTAGAGTGCTGGGGCATCACAGCTGACAGCAACCTCCAACTCCAGGGCTTAAGCGATTCTCTTGCCTCAGCCTCCCAAGTAGCTGGGACTGCAGGTTGCATAATACTCAGCTATTTTTTGGTTGTAGTTGTCATTGTTTGGCAGGCCGGGGCCAGATTCAAACCCACCAGCTCTGGTGCATATGGCTGGTGCCTTAGCCACTTGAGCTACAGGTGCTGAGCCTTTGTCGGTATTCTTCTTTGATTCTATGTGAAAACTTTGATTCTATTCCTCCTTGATTGATATTTGCAGTTTCCTAAAGGTTGCATCGTAGAATCTGAAACCTTATCAAAGAAGTTCTCTTCCTCCATGACATTAAAATCTAATTGTCTATCTTGCCTCTTAAATGGACCTTTTACTCACTTATGCATTTGTAACAGCATGCTTTAGGCTTTTGGAAAACACTGATTTGCTAGGGTATGCAGATCTTGAAAATGTTGACATATTTCATCATACAGTATCAAAAAGTTAGACCGGCCGTGGTGGCTCACACCTGTAATCCTAGAACTTTGGGAGGCCAAGTGGGTGGATTGCCTGAGCTCAAGATTTTGAGACCAGTCTGAGCAAGACCCTGTCTCTAAAAATAGGTGGGTACTGTGGCAAGTGTCTGTAGTCCCAGCTCCTTGGGAGGCTGAGACAAGAGGATCACTTGAGCCCAGGAGTCTGAGGTTGCTGTGAGCTATGAGGCCATGGCATTCTATTAAGAGGGATAAATTGAGACTCTGTCTCAAAAAAAAAAAAAAATCAGAAAAGTCTGTAAGTATTGAAAAACTGCTAAGCTTACACTTCCACAGAATTCTAAGTTTTGTATAAAGTTTGAATCCTCATCGTTGATGCAAATATTATCAGTTATTTTCTTTGAAGTGACAAGCTCACATTGTTTACTTGTTAAAAGAAGATGGCTGGCTTGGCGCCTGTGGCTCAAGTGGCTAAGGCGCCAGCCACATACACCTAAGGTGGTGGGTTTGAATCCAGCCCGGGCACGCTAAGCAACAATGATGGCTGCAACCAAAAAATAGCTGGGCGTTGTGATGGGCACCTGTGGTCCGAGGTACTTGGGAGGCTGAGACAGGAGGCTCGCTTGAGCCCAGGAGTTAGAGGTTGCTGTGAGCTGTGATGCCATAGCATTCTGCCCAGGGCGACAGCTTGAGGCTCTGTCTCAAAAAAAAAAAAAGAAGATAGCTGCAAAAATAACCTAATTCTGAATAACTATACGTCTTCTGGCCTTTTGTTCCAGGATGCAAGTGTCTGGCTCCGTCTGTGTCTCAGTCTCGTAGTGCTTTCTAGAGACGGACTGGGCACTTGGCTTCTGGCACAGGCGCTCTGTGCATATTCCCATTTTGTCATGTGCAGTATGAAGAGATGTGCTCCAGGGTTTGGCTTTAGTAAAGTTAATGTGTAAAAAAGTATTTTACCAGAGACATTCTTACTGAAACTGCTTTTTTTTTTAAACTGAACATGTGTGGTTGTGAACAAAACAATGACTGCCTAAACCTTCTGGTGCAGTTTTACTCATCGTTGCTTTTGTGCCACCAAGGCAATGTTCACCTTCATATTAAAGTCAAAGTGTCTTTGACCTTGTCAACCCCGAAAAGGTCTTAGAAATTGCTAAATGTCTACAGACCACCCTTTCGGAATTGCTGATCTAAGACCAGGTGTTCACGCCTGTAATCCCAGCACTCTGGGAGGCCGAGGTGGGTGGATTGTCTGAGTTCACAGGTTCCACCAGCCTGAGCCAGCGTGAGACCACGTCTCTAAAAATAGCTGGGTGTTGTGGTGGGCGCCTATAGTCCCAGCTACTTGGGAGGCTGAGGCAAGAGGATCGCTTGAGCCCTTGGTGTGAAGTTGCTGTGAGCTATGATGCCACAGCACTGTACAGAGGGCAACAAAGTAAGACTGTCTCAAAAACAAAAACAATTGCTGATCTATGCCATGGATTTTCTCATTTTCAATAACATAGTCTAGTTTAACACTCAATTTTTAAAAAAATGAATATCTTAGAAATCAATTTTTTTTCTTGGTTTATTTGTCTCATACCAGTTCATTTTATTGACATATATATGTATATATTTTTATGTAGGTTTTCTCAGGAACTACAGTTAAAAGTACAGAAAGATGCCAAAAATATTTCTTTATCTAAAAAATCCCAAAATAGAAAGAAGGAAAAAGAGAAGGACGATTCCTTAAGTGAAGAAAGAAAAACACTTGTAGTTCAGGTAAATTTTCATATTTAAATTTTAAATTCAGCCTCGGCACCTGTAGCTCAGCAGCTAGGGTGCCAGCCACATGCACTGCCTGTAGTCCCAGCTACTTGGGAGGCTGAGGCAAGAGAATCACTTAAGCCCAAGAGTTTGAGGTCACTGTGAGCTATAACACCATGGCACTCTACTGAGGGTGACATAGTGAGACTCTGTCTCAAAAAAAAAAAATTAATTCAATATACTTATTTTCCCACTTTTTTGAGAAAAAAATGAAGACTTTATATTATATAGAGTTTACTGAGTGGTGAACAAGTTGTTAACTTTTAGCTTAGTTGTATATATGTGTCTTTTTTATAGATATTACTTGTCTAAAAGCCGAACATTTGGTATTTGGAGTTCCTATTGTACGCCACGCTGTGTGGTAGTTCTTGTTAGGAAAACTGCAGCCATCCAGGAGCACCCAGACGTGTGTGTGCACATACGTCCATACATCCTGATGCTCCTGGATGGTGGGGGGTTTTTCTTGAGACAAACCCTAGCTCTGTCACCTAGACTGGAGTGTAATGGTCTCATCATGGCAAAGACACCCCCTTTCTTCCTTAAATGATACGAGTGAAAATTATTGGTTTTAGAATTTTACGTAAAGTAGAATTTTTGAAAATTGGGATTTGGATATTTAATTTAGGTTTGCTTTTCCTGGTAAATTTCCCAGGCACCATCATGATGAGGTAATTCAAGTTCACCACCAACCCACTCCAATCAAGTGAACCAAAAGAAGAAAAAGCTCCCAATTTTGTATTCCCTGACTCTGATTCTACAAGAACAAAAGTGGCATTCTTGATTCCTGTGCAGTTTGCATTTTCTTTTTGTATTTCCCAATAACTGTCTGAGAATCTTGAATTTTAATTTCCTAGGTAGAATAAAGAGCACAGGAAGGCCAGGCGTGGGGGCTCACACCTGGATTCCCAGCAATTGGGGAGGCCGAAGTTGGAGAATCATTTAAGGCCAGAGTTTAAGGCCAGTCTGAGCAGCCCAGTGAGACCCTGTCTCCACAAACAAGAGAGAAAATTAGCCCAGCACAGTGGGGCTTGCGTGTTAGCTCAGCTGCTTGGGAGGAGGAAGCAGTGGGATTGCTGGAGCCAGGAATTTGAGGCTGCAGTGAGCTCTGATGAGACAGGACATGCCAGTCTGGGCGGCAGAGTCTCTCAAAAAACCTCACACACACAGAAAACAGTAATAATGATTTTTTAAAAATGAAAATAAAATGTCACAAAAAGGTGATAGCTATGAAATTCTGTTCTACCAAACAAGTATTTTATAGGAAGAGGTGACTTTTTATTCTCCTCAGGTCACTAACCTTATTGAATTATTTGTTTAATGGTCAGGATACCAATGCTGATCCCAAAATTAAGGATTATAAAGTTTTTAAAATGAAAGGGCCAAAAATTGATGGAGAAAAAGTTGAAAAAGGCAATAGAGCTTCAAATGCCAGCTGTCTCCATGACAACGGGACAAGCTATGTCAAAACAGTGCCTTCAACAAGCCTCAGAGACTGCAGCAACGTCACCGCGGGTCACACACGGCACCCGGGCACGGCGATCCCCCCACTCACACACAATCTTTCTGCAGTTGTTCCCACTATTAATTCTGCAATGGGGACTATACCAGCAGTTCAAAGTTACAGGTATGAATTAAGAAAATAAGGCCAAAACATTGCATAAGGAATTATCTGCGAGTTGCAAGCGTTTGTCAATCTGTCCACCTTGCTTTACTCTCAGAACTCCAGACTCTGTTCATCCTCATCAGTCGTTTCAAAGGACTTTGTGGCTGCACTTGGTAAAAAAGTCCACCCAAGTCCTCTGAAAGTAGGGTTGTGCTGTTTAAGGTCAACGGAAGCTACAGCTGCACTGCTTGATAATGTAAAATAAGGTTGTCGTAATATTAATAAAAGAGCCCAGTGATCTTGGGCAGGTCGCCGCTGCGTGTGCTGGCTGTGAGCATTTAGTGGTACAAAGAAGCTCCTTTGGGGAATTTTGAAGTAATCTGTTTGGTAAGAGGTTGGAGGCTGGTGGGAGGCAGGAAGGCAGTGACACAGGACAGAACGTCTTAGCAAATTTATGTGTGTGTATTTTTGAGAATAGGCAGATTAAATCCTGATTAAATCACACGCCACCTGGCGCTATGTCATTTGGTTTTGTGCTTGACAAAATACTTATTGCTGATTCTAACTTACGTTTCTTTTTATTTTTCTTACAGGGTGGATGAGAAAACAAAGAAGTATTGTATTCCATTTGTTAAACCAAATAAACATTCCCCATCAGGCATTTATAATGTTAATGTGAACACATCAGTAAGTAAACTGTTCTCAGTGATAACAGAGCACAACTGCTATTCAGTTCTAGACTTTTATTAATATCAAATGTGATAGTGAAGAACTGAGAATTTTATTCAGAGACATATTATGCACATATCACCCCGGCCCGCCATAGTCATAAATGTGAAATTCAGAAAGTTTAAATAAGTTTTATTTCTGAAAATATAAATACATTATTACATATTAGTAACAACATCTGCTTTATTTTTTTGAGGAACATAGTAAACTTTCTTAACTTGGTGCTTGCTGATCAGTTCTTCTTTAGATCCAATTTCTATTTGTTCTTCTTTGGAAGAAGTGATCAAGAAAGGAGGTAAAGATGAACGGGGGCAAGGCCCACAGGAGTCTTACCTTAAGGACAATGAACACAGGCAGACCTTGGCCTGGACTCTGTCCCACTCTTGACTGAAGACTAGTACCTCTCTTTGATGCTTTGTGCCCCAATGTTGAGATATGAATATATTATTATTATAAACGTGTGTTTTATTTATGACCCTTTGAATGTATAAATCTGATAGTTTGACTTCATTTTTATTTGTTTTTTAGTTTTATTTATTTAGTTATTTTTTTTCGAGGCAGAGTCTCGCTCTGTCATTCTGGGTAGAGTGCCATAGCATCTTAGCTCATAGCAACCTCAAACTGTTGGACTCAAGCGATCCTCTTGCCTCAGCCTCCCAAGTAGCTGGGATTACAGGTGCCTGCCATAAAGCCCGGCTAGTTTTTTTAGAGATGGGGTTCTCACTCTTGCTCAGGCTAGTCTTGAACTCCTGAGCTCAGGCGATCCACCTGCCTCAGCCTCCCAGAATGCTAGGATTATAGTCATGAGCCATCATACCCATTCTGAACTCGTTTTTTAATTTTATTTTTTGTATTTGCAGATAGTTTTTCTGAACTAATAATTTTACATTACAGCTGATTTGAACCAAGAGCCCTTAGTACTTCTATTCAAAGCGTAAGCAGAGGCTCGGCGCCCATAGCACAGTGGTTACGGCGCCGGCCTTATACACTAAGGCTGGTGGGTTGGAGCCTGAGCTAGGTCTGCTAAACAACAATGATAACTGCAACAAAAAATAGCCATGTGTCGTGGCAGGCACCTGTAGTCTCAGGTACTTAGGAGGCTGAGGCAAGAGAATTGCTTAAGCCCAGGAGTTTGAGGTTACTGTGAGCTGTGACACCATGGCACTCTACCAAGGGTGACATAGTGAGATTCTGTCTCAAAAAAAAGAAAAAAGCAGAAACATCTAAAAGAAAGAAATTCAAAAGCTCAAAGCATTGTGGAACCTCAGTGGCTTAATGTTATCATTCATTATACATGTGCTTGTGTGTATTTCATCATGACATGTGGGTTTTTTTAAGCAAATCACATAATCTCTCTCTGTGTCACTTGTTTTGAAAATGTGAAAAATGTGGTTTCTGTGATTCTTACATGAAAAAGATTGGGAAAAGCATTAAATGCATAAAGATGTAGAGTTTGAGTGCTACTGCTGTCCTCACTTTGTTATTTTTTCTGACTTTATCTACTATGAAGTAATAGTACTCAGAAAGGATAGGGAAATAATTGGAATTATAATTCTTTACTTCATGAACTATATTCCTAGGAAGATATTATTATGTGCTAATTCTGAGGAGCAAGACCAGGACAAATATGGAAAAATGAATAAAAAGATTATATTAGAAAATTTAAAAGCAAGTTTGAAGAAGATGAGATACATATGTGAAAATGAACCGTTCAAAATTAACGTCGACCACCGCAGCTATTTGCTGAGAAGCCTAGGAAGTGTCGTGAGGCCCAGCCTTGCTGGCATTTTCAACCTTTAACTCCTTTCCAGCACTCACATTGATGATTGGCAGAAGGAGAAAGTCAGACCAGTTAAATTAGCTACTTGTTAGCAATTTTAGTAAACTTAAAGAGGGAGAGGTTTGAAGTAATTGGATGAAATTGTCTTCTGTGTGATCAATGTCCTTCAGCTTTTTAATTATTCTCTAGACCTCCAATTTCTCAAGGTTTAGGATGTGGACATAGAAATTACAGAAGGGGAAGCCTACTTAACCTGGAAGCTAATTCGTGTTAACCATTCTGATGATATTAGGTCTCCACTGAAAAGAACCTTTTCCAGGCAAATAAGAAAAGAAGGGAATACTCCAAGACAGATGTCCGTCTGCCCGAACTGAACTACAATCATCTCCCTGAGCTCAGAGCCTTGGAAGGCATAAGTACGTTCACGATGCTTTTACTTCCTGTAGCTATTTTTTTATTTACACATTTACTTGTTTTTATAGCCCCTTTGTTTAAAATGTACATTAATTAAACAGAATATCAAAAATAAAAATTCATAATAAACTGTACATACTTAAGTATATAAGCAATGCCAATAGCTAGTTCAATACCAACTTGATGTCAGCCTGCTTTCAGGCACTGCATAATCAGTGCTGGCTGATCATTGGAGATCCTATTTCCATTTATTCTTTTTTTGGAAGACGTAATCAAGACAGGAGGTAAAGGTTAGTCCGGACAAGACCCATTGGAGTCTTTCCTTGGTGAAATGAAGAGAGGCTTTCTTAACTTCTCAGTTGAAGATCAGTACCTGTCTCAAATGTTCACATACCCATACCAACTCCATACTGAGAGTTACATAGAAGATGTGAAGAACTAACAAAGCGTCTAATACTTTTACTGTGTTTTGGTCATTTTCATCCAGCTCGAAATTCCAGGCTAGTAAAGAAAGAGAACAAAATTCTTTCAGAATCTCGAATTCCTTCTCTGGCTGCTATTGACTTGCACACCCCCGGTCTCTCATCACATCAGGTACAGAAATACGTTTGTACATTGGGTGGACTCGGCTTTCTCTCATACTTGATGAAGTATTTTAGGGAAGGTTTTCCCTTAAGAACTGGACTTATTGGTGAGATCTATGAAATTTTTCTTGCTGATTTTGTGTGTAATGAACATGTGTAATGAACAAGAATTCATGGGGCGACACTTTGAAACTATGTACCTATACCATGGCCATCCAATGTGCTTACAATTGATTAGTTATTTATGTCACTGTGGACTCTTAGATCCCTATTTTGTTCAGTGGAATATAATTAGTTGCAATCATTTATTTTAAAGCTTACATACAGTAAAATTCACTCCTTTTGGTCTAAGTTTTAACAAATGCATAGAGTCTGTAACCATTAACTATAATCAAGATAAACTACAGGTTCATCCTTCTCCCTGCAAAATCCTCCCTATGCTTTTGTAGTCAAACCCTCTGCCCGCTCTTAGACCTTTGTAACTGCCAGTATGTTCTTCATCCCAGTAGTTACCTCTTCCCAGAGCGTCATAGAAAGCGAATGAAACAGTTTAGGTAATTTTGAATCTGGCTGCTCTCTCTGACATGGCACCAGACATTCTTCCGTGTGATTGAATTTATCAATGGCACGCTCCTTTCTATTGCTGAGTGGTAGTCCCCTGTGTGGGCACACCATCTGTGTATCCCTCTCCCAGACGAAGGGCAGTTAGGTTGTTTGCAGGACTGAGGTTTTCGTTAATGCAGGCTTTTCCTCCCTGTCTCCCTCCCTCCCTCCCTCCTCCTTTCCCTCCCATCGGGTCTTGCTCTGTCACTCAGGTTGAAGGGCAGTGGCAGCCTTCTTTCTGGAGGCTTTCAGGGAGAATCCAACTCCAGGCTCACTTCAGGCTGTGACAGAATGGCAGAATTCAGTTGCAGCTGGTTGCAGGGCCAAGATCCCTGTTTCCTTGCTGGCTGACAGCGAGGTGTTGTTTCAGTGCCAAGAGGCCACTCAGCATTCCTTGATTCATGGCCCAATCCCTCCTTCTTCAAAGCCAGGAACAGTGGGGGAATCCTTCTGACACTTTGAATCTCTCTGACCGCTCCTCTGCGGTCCGCTCTGACCTACTCTGCTGTTACATCAGGGCCACCAAGACAAGGCCAGCTGATTAGTAACGTTAATTCTAAGCACAAAGTCTCTTCAGACAGTACTGAAATGAGTTCGATTAACTGAGCCTCAGTTAATCAATTCGATCTTATGAGCCTCTCTTTATAGTTCTGCTGACTGCAGAGTGTATAGACCATTAACATTTAACGTGACCCTTGATGTGTTTGGTTCTAACACTATTATTTTGTTATTTGTTTTCTGCCTGTTCTCTGTTTTTTTCTTTCTGGCTTTCTTTTGTTCTTGAATATTTTTAATATTGGTTTTGAGATGATATCTCCCTATTTTTTTAAGTGATTGAACTAGGGATTACGACATAAATAGCTAATCTTTCATCACCTACATTTTACCACTTACTATTAGACATGGAAACCTTGCAAACATACTCCCACCCCCCATTCGGACTTGACTTCGGAACTATCAATTGTATCACATTCACAGACCTTGAAAACCTCACCACACATGGCATACTTTTTGGTTTACACAGTCATAAATATTTTAAATAATTTATGAGAAAAAAATTATTTTTCTGGTTATTTACCATTTCTGCTGTCCTCTGATTTTTCCCCCTCGATACCAGTTTTCCTCTGGTGTATTTTTTCTCTAGCCTGAAAAACTCCCCTACGTATTTCTTGCAGAGCAGTTCTGGTGGTGACAAATTCTCATAGTTTTCCTTTATTTGACAGTGACTTTACCTTAATTCCTGAACTGTATTTTCACTGGATATGGAATTTGTGTTGACAGGCATTTGTCTTTTCTTTTTTTCTTTTTTTCTTTTGCCTCAGCAGTATAGAGATGTTATTCCTCTGTCTGCTGATATCCTGATTCCTGGTGGGGGAGTTCTTAGGCGTTTGAATTGCTGTTCCCTGCTTCTAATGTTTCATTTTTCTCTAGCTGCTTTCAAGATTTAATCTTTATCTTTTGTTTTCACTAGCTTGAACATGATGTGTCTAGGTATGGTTTGCTTTGAGTTTATCTTCCTTGGGGTTTGCCAAGCTTTTTGAACCTGAGAACTTATATCTTTTACCAAATTGGGGGAGTTTCTGGTCATCGTTTCTTCAGGTATTTTTTCCTGCCACCATCTATTTCTCCTCTCCTTCTGAGATTTTAATGACACCCGTTAGAACTTTTGGTATTTTCTCACAGTTACTTCTGTTTATTTTTTAAAAATGTTTTTTCTTTCTATTCTTCAGATTGGATAATTTCTTTTTCATTTTTTTAAATTTGTTTTGAGACAGTCTCATTATGTCATACTCTGTAGAGTACTGTGGCGTCACAGCTCACAGCAACCTCAAACTCTTGGGCCTAAGTGATTCTCTTGCCTCAGCCTCCCAAGTAGCTGGGACCACAGGCACCCGCCACAATGCCTGGCTATTTTTTTTGTTGCAGTTGTTTAGCGGGCCTGGGCCGTGTTCAAACCTGCCACCTTCAGTGTACATGGCTGGTGCCGTAATCACTGTGCTTCGGGCACTGAGCCTATTTTATTTTATTTTTTTTATTTTTGTGAAACAGTCTCAGTCTGTCACCCCGGGTAGAGTGCCATGGTTATAGCTCACAGAAACCTCAAATTTGGGGGCTTGAGTGATCCTCTTGTCTCAGTCTCCCAATTAGCTGGACTACAGACTATAGCCTGGCTAGTATTTTCCATTTTTAGTACAGACAGAGTCTTTCTCTTGCTCAGGCTGGTCTTGAACTCCTGAGCTCATGCACTCCACCCTCCTCAGCCTCCCAGAATGCTAGGATGACGAGCGCTGAGCTGTCCATTCATTTCAAGCATGTTTTCCCTTACTTCATGCAGCGTAGTTGTACTGGCTGCTTTAAGGTCTTTATATTATGATTCCAGCAGGTTTTTGTTTTTATATTTTTATAACAAGTAGAAGAGGTGGGTTATAGTGGGCTTACACTGCCAGGCATATGAGAAGTGTCTTTTAACGTATGTATAAACTAAGAGGTAAAGAATAATATCCCTTTACTTCATTCTTTTTCATGTAAGCAACTGGAACTATGAATAGTTTATTCTAAACATCTGTATTTGAACAACTGGATCTCAAAGAGTTGTGAAGTGGAACTTCTACATTACTGGAAACTGACAATGCTTTGTTATTAATGTACAGGTCTCAGGCACACCCCTATCGGATGGTTCAGAGCCTGACTTGCCTCGAATGGAACACCAGCACTGAGGGCCACTTTGTTCCTGAACTGGGTAGGTCTGGTTTCCCACATTTAAGGTGTGCAGGCTTTCATGGGAGATATTTTGTGTCTTGCTGAAGACCAGATGTTTCAGTTGAAACATTCTCTGGTGATGGATCCCATGAGAAAGAAGTCCTTATAGAGAAAGAGTATGCCACTTAGAGACCCAGAAGTATTATTTGTTTCAGGGATAAAATCATTTTCATAGAGCTCACATCTCTCAAACTAGTTTCTGGTGTTGTATTGGATATAGCAACGTGAATTCAGGGTAGCAAGTGCCTGAGAAGGTTGCACACTTACTGCTCTCATCAGTAATGTGTCGTGTGCGCTTATAAAGCAAGGTAGACAGAATGATTACAGTCGCACCTCACGTGGTGTTCTGAGAAAGACTTCTGGAGGCAGTCTCATCACTGCGCAGACATCCTGGTGTACAGACACGAAACTGCATGGTGTGGCCTGCTACACACTTAGGCTGCATGGGGCACAGTGTGCCCTGGCTACACGCCTGCACTGCTCCTGTCCTGAATACGGCAGGCGGCTATAACACAATGGGACACAATACGTGTCTCTAAACGTATCTAGAGGTAGAAAAGGTAATGTATTGTGCTAAGTGTCACAACAGCTATGATGCTGTTAGGCCACAGGAATGTCCCTCCTTAATAATCTACTGGGGTCACTGTCAAATATGCTGTCTGCCATCAACTGAACTGTCATTATATGGTACATAACTGTACTTGGTAATCTCTCCCCCATAAAAAGGGATCAGTGTTATACCAAATAATTGCCTTCCATTTCTTTATTTATGTATTTATTTTTTGAGACAGAGTCTCACTATGTCGCCCCAGTGTCACAATTCACAGCAACCTCAAACTCTTGGGCTTAAGCAATTCTCTTGCCTTAGCCTCCCAAGTAGCTAGGACTACAGGTGCCCACCACAATGCCCAGATTTTTGTTGTTGTTGTTGCAGTTGTCATTGTTGTTTTACCTGGCCCTGGCCAGGTTCAAACCTGCCAGACTTAGTGTACGTGGCTGGTGTCCTACCCACTTGAGCTACAGGCACCACCTATTGCCTTCCTTTTAAATGTAACTTTTTCATATTAAAAAAAAACAAAACAAAAATATGACTTTTTGAGAGATAATTTGCTATTTGCTCAAGCTCATTAACTATTTAAAATATGATGGTGATAGAGTCCCACATTCTCCTAAGTGTTCTATTGAAATTAACTTTATAAAGCTTTTTTTTGAGACAGAGTTTCACCATGTCAACCCTCAGTAGAGTGCCGTGCCAGCACAGCTCACAGAAACCTCAAACTCTTGGGCTTAAGCAATTGTCTTGCCTCAGCCTCCCAAGTAGTTGGGACTACAGGCACCTGCCACAATGCCTGGCTATTTTTGGTTGCAGTCATCATTGTTGTTTAGCAGGCCTAGGGCCGGGCTTGAACCCACCAGCCTTGGTGTATGTGGCCGGCGCCCAACTTTATAAAGCATTTTGAGCATCTGTAGCATCAAAGATGAACGTGCTAGGCAGCGCCTATGGCTCAGTGAGTAGAGTGCTGGCCCCATATACCAAGGGTGGTGGGTTCAAACCCGGCCCTGTCCAAACTGCAACCAAAAAATAGCTGGGCCTTGTGGTGAGCACCTGTAGTCCCAGCTGCTCAGGAGGCTGAGGCAAGAGAATCGCCTAAGCCCAAGAGCTGGAGGTTGCTGTGAGCTATGATGCCAC